GTTTAAATTGGTAGGGTTAAGATAATAAGAGAAGCTTTGATTTTAGAAAGCAGTAATAACAGGTACATAATATATCTATTTTTCAAGCTGATAGAATTGATTAATGGTTCAAAATAATCAAGGAATCATATCACAAAGCACCATTTTAAAGAGAAGTGCTATGAATTAACTTTATACAATCATGACATCATCAGATATGTTATTAGAATTATGTACTACATTACACTAAAGATTACAATTGCTAGGCTAGAAAATGGAATCTTCAGTGACTCTGCATGATAATAAATATATTTAATAATCTTAAATAAACTCAAACTTACTTTGATATCTTCTGAGTAATTCAAGACATGAGAAATGAATTTTTAAAAAATCAGATCATGAAAGCCATTATTATTTGAAGGAATATGCTCAATTTTTTAGATAATTTAAATTATTTAAGAGTCCTTTGCATCTTTTATTAGCTTTGCCTAAAGTTATAACATTAAAGCATTAAGGTTACATGTAATGAGGTTCTGGTTTGCCCTTATTTCTAGCCCCATATTTTCACAAACTACAAACCAAGATTAGTGCTATATTACAAGGCTAATTAGAGAAAATAAAATTGTGTCACTCCTAGATACACATCTGAATAAAATGTTTAGAAAGTGTGTATTCACACTCAGACATTCATAGATACCCATCTGGAAGAAACAGTTCATAAAAGAATTAGATAATGGGCAAAGGAAGTCAGCACAAAAATTTTCCTTAGGATGTCAGTTTAAAAAAATTAATTCTTTGCTAAATTCAACCAACTACAAACAACATATACCTAAAGCAGATTGGTGGTTTTAAATATGATGAGAAACGTTTATTTAGAAACTATAGACAGAAGTAACATCTCTGTGATTAAAATTACCATTAACAGAAATTGACCGTAACTTGGAAGCCAGTGACTTGGTTTAAAATGCATTGAAAATTAAAGAAGAATCGAATCCCAAACTCCTCAGGATAATTTACGTCAATTTTCACTATAAAATAATAATACCAAGAGCTAATATTATTTCAAGTAGTATTACAGCCAATGCTGAGTATTAAAAATTTTTTCCCTTGCTTGCTTTTGGTGTGAAGGAGAAATTATTCGATCATTGTTTCATTTCAGTTCTCATATCTTTAAATGCAGGAAAGCCATGTTTGACACTATTGTTGATATTCCAGGTCACTTCTAAAAGTAATTTCACTTGAGCCTAACCACAATCCTGTGAAGCAGGGAGTACAGGCACCACTGGTATTCTTCAGACGAGGAAACCTATTCTAGGGCACAAGGCACTAGAGAGTGAAACTAGAATTTTGGTTGACTCCAGTTCCAGTGTTCTTACTACTGCCCACCTTCAGGAGAATACTGCTGGTTACAACTCTGTCCCCAACTTAAGAAGAGTCCTTATTCCTAAAGGGTAGAGGTCACTCTCAGCTTCCAGAGTTATGTTACCGTAACTGGTAGCAACTCTGTAAAAGATGTTCACATTATTCATATACACTTCAATAGCTACAAGCATTTTGGAATTTTTACAAAAAATAAATATCTCATCTGAAACAGTACTGAAACTCTTTCATTCCCTCCCCCTGTTTATTTAAAAAATATATACATGAGAAAAGATTCCCAGTTTGTTTCCCAGATAATCCCTAAGGTTCAGATGTCACAAAATCAGAGAACCTTTTATGTCTTAGGACACTGCTAGTGGCTTAACCTGCTAAAACTGTACCAAGGTAAGGTTATGTGGGGCTGTCCTTATCCTTCCCTGTGTTTACATCCTGTCTGTCTTATTTAGACCATGAATCTACTTGGGGAAGACCACGTCAAATTCTATGTTTGAAATATCCTTTGCACAGGATGGCAGTTAAACGTAATTTATTCAAAATGGAATCACTTAATTAGAGAGGAAGAAAAACAGCAAGCCCTGAGATGATAATAAAGAATAAAACAAATATGCTGACCAACTGGAGCAAAGCAACAGAGAGATAACACACACTGACAAGATTGCTACATTTCAGTTTTCAATTTAGGATGCTTATAACAGGATAAACACACAGTTACACACCTTGTTTTTGCTGGGTTCCCAGAAAGCAGAGGGCACACGTGACATTATGAACTCTGTAGAGCGGTAAAAATCCTAACAGCTTGTGGCTCTTATGACTCAGGCTCCTTGGAAAAGCCCTTTCTCTTGGGCTGTTAGACTACGAGAGGGCTCAATTTTACCACCTGTCTGGTTAAATTCCAGAGCCAATGTTAGTCCTTATTTATCTCTTAATCTTTTCACTCTCCCCACCCCTCAGCTTCCAATCACTGAAGTACAAAAATATTTTAAAAGGATTTCTTCAAAAAACACAACAAAAGGCTTTATGAGGCCCAGTACAAGGTACTACTTGAGTGTCCAAGGAATAAGACCTTTTACTTATGTATCAGATATTCCAATTAAAAATTCTTCTTAAATTCATATCTCAACAAGTAAAAGTCATGTCAGACATTGCCATCACTCAGTCACAAAATTATACACATTTGACAAAGAAGTTTATTGACTGTATAGTCTGTTAATAGTCCTTTAAACCATTTAAAAAAAAATCTATCCATTAAAACCCATCCCCTAAAAAACAACTATTTGAGACAGAAGCAGCTGAATTTACAGTCCTCTTCAAGGCTCCCCTGGCTGGTTAGTACTGGGCTTCACAGTGGAGGAGGTAGAGAGGATGGGAAAAGGTCCTCAGAAAAGGGTCACTTTGGCCTGATGTCCCCTCTGGACTCTGCTGCTTTGATTGACTTCCTATTTTCATCTGGACTGGAAGGTCAGGTGTTCCTGCATAAAAGTTTAGTCTCCATTGTAGCTGTTTTGGATTTGATATGATCACCACGGTATGCTTTACTGACTAAATCAGCCAAAATCAGTTATCCAATTGTCAATTATTGGATGATTCTTTTCACATGCTTCAGATTATTTTATAGAAATGGTGGCATCATCAGTGGTCAGCAAGCATTTGTTGTATGCCTTTTATATACAAAGAATTAAAGTATTTAGTTTTAATTCATCACAGTACTGCATAGCAGAATAGAAGGAGGCTGGTGTGAGGCTTGGTTAGGAAACTCACTAGCCTAAGGCTTTGGGGACAAATTACTTGGCCTGATTCCTAATCGGGAAAATGGTAATGAATAACAACTTAGCTCATAGGGTTGTCATAAGAATTGAATGAAAAGTGAACAGCATGACAAATAGCAAACACTCAGTAGATGTTATCTATTACTATTACTAGTCTTAGTTAAATTGGTATCATCACATTTGATGTGATAAAGGACACAGGGTTTTCTAAATGGACTCCATGGGGGCTAGGAAGGGAGGGTAGTGTATGAGAATCTGCTTATTTTGTTGGAATTTTCTCTTCCACTAAAGCAGTTGTCTTTAACAAGCATACACTAGTGTCATTAATTTTCTCCTTTGAGAGTACCTGTGTGACACTTTCCTCAAACAAGAAGTAAATTGCAGTTCAAGCTACAAAATGGCACCTGCTTGTACTCTAGCAGGAGTGATATTTTTATATTACAAAGTTGAAGCCAATAAACAGAAGACAGACAAGTGCTGTGCTATATTACCTCTCCAAGTAATGGCTAATAAAAAAGAAAACTGAAAAAAAAAAAAAAAAAAAAGAGAGAAACCTAGGGAAACACCTTCCAAAGTTCCAGCATTAAGAAAGGCACTTAAGAGATGGCTTTGGGAGCATTTTCCGTATTTACACCTTTGCAAATATTCAAGTGTTTTGGCTTGCTCAACTTCCAGCCCCTTTCTCAACACTGCACACCTAAACTGAGCAGTGGTGTGCCTCAGGCAACTTTCTGCATTTATGGTTCCTTTCATCTTAGGGACTCAAAGCACTTAACATAACCATACAACTTTAAATAAATAGGGAGTAAACGTTAACAAAAAGGACAAAAGCTAAATTATGATTAAATTTGGCAGTGACTATGAAACTTCTCACTTACTTGCAGAAAATTTTGATCTGTCCAAGGCGACAGCTAGAATGCTTTCATGATCAGATGCAGGAAAGGCTTCTCGGATATTACCCAGGCAGAATGCTGGGCAGCAGTGATTTGGGATGTTTCACTGGAAAGTGAAAGTAGATCACTTGCCCCCAAGCTGCCTGAGGCACCTGTGCGCCTTATTTGAGGTCACAACATTGAACACAAGGAAAGAGAGGAAGGAAACATCTAAGGACTATCTACCACAGCTCAACTTTCTTATTATTCACAATCTCACTACTTCTGTTACAACGATAAAATCCAGTCTACTCGTTGATGGTATTATGGGATATACTAACTGTATAAAGGCATTTTCCCTACCAGGTTTAGTAGTCAAGCTCTTTTCTCCTTAAATCTCAGGTCTTGAGATATTGTGGGGTGCCAAATCAGTTAATTAACAAATATTTACTGGATCTACACTATGTACTTTGTGCCATGCTGGCAATAAATAATATGTTTGTATATAAGTAATGATAGAACAGATTCTACTAGCAGAAAAAGTCCCTCAAACACAGCATAAATGAAATGTCATTCCATGCTATCCTGATTATATAATTTTTAAAGATTTATCTCATAACAAAATATTATCATGGGTTCTAACAGATATTCTGGAAGAACTCAACTATAAGGTAGTACGTGTACAATAAACTGGCTAAAGCTGAGATGTCTAGAAATCCCTTGTTCCCAATCCAGATGATAAACTGTTATGTATTCGAGTGTATATTAAACTTCTATAATAATATTTTAACAACATAGAACTTGTTTCTCTGTATTTTTGAATACTAAATATATTACTGATAAATAAGGCCATATTCATCAAATGTTTTTTATTTTATATATAGTGTACACACACACACACACACACACACACGCACGCACGGCATATTCTTTCAACCTTTGAATGAAGCTGTGTTTCCATGGCTTGATCATGTTTTGATCTCTACTCTCCACTACCTCTTTCTTTACCATGTGGATTGCTTTTCAATATTCTTGAATCTACTTAAGAGAAGTAAAAGTGATCTCTATATGGTGTGTGTCTATAACTCCAACAAATGAAATACAAATGATTGATTTATCTGAAATTTAGAAGAACTTTACTTAAAAATTCTCACAATGCTTCACTTCAGTCTCTCTGATGAAGTTCAAGGTCTTTAACAACATGTATATTAGGATTAGTTTTCTTCTAACTGCAAATCTGAATCTATAATATATAACTGAGTTCTATTTTAAATTATGACCCTGGATAGTACCAGGCAATGAATGACTAGCAAGTAGTAGAGTGGAGAAATTACATAAAATTATATAAAAAGTATAAATCACAAGAACTAAGAGTGAGCCTTTGACTGTACATATTTAAGAAATATTTCCATGGTAGCCCTAATCTTTATGCAAGGCTATATTCAAAGTGTTTGTAACTAATAGCAAAAATCGAAACAAAAAACCTAAAACAAAAACAAAACCCCACATGTATAGATTTCACCTACACATGGATGAAAAGTGATTTTTTTTCCATGGTCCTATAATACTTTATGTAATTATCTGTAATTAAATTAGCACAGAGTAGAAATAATCAGCTTACAATAAAATCAAGTATTCAAAACAATTGCTGGACTAAACAACATTCTTTTTCCATAAAGGAAAGTGTCATATGCAGCAAAGTGGCAAAAATAGTAAGGAGTGAGCTATGTTAAGTATAAATCCTGCAGCAATGAAAGTCATTTGTATTATCCTGACTTCTTTGAATAAATTCAGATGACAGCCCTATTTCATTTCTTCATTCAGTTTGGAGGCCAGATGGCATTAGAATCATTTACTTCACCTTGTTGTGGTTAATTACTACAATCAACACACTATTTTCCAAATTAATCATAACAAAGTAATTTCATTAGTAACACAGCAGGCTGTTGAATTATTAGCATCATAACAGTTTGCAAACAATTAAACTTTATTTGAACCTTAAAAATTTGCAGAGTGGAACATTATTGTAAGATCTAATGGCAATAGAGTACAAATTCAGTACAGAGCAAATAATCAAGCAAAATGCTATATAAAATATGACTTACAATCACCTTTGAAAAAAATTAGCTCTCTAACTGTTCATAGAAAAACAAATAAAAGCTAAGCAAACATAATGAGAACATAGCAATTAGCATATTTTCTAACAAGCCATGTTGTTTAAATTCATATTAATGATATTATTATGATCTTGAAGTGTATGTGATGCATTGTCAAGGGTGTAAAGAAAACTTTCTCCTTAGTTGTATACAAATGATTCCATCAAATGAATATAAAGCAGTCATGAATTGAAAGTAATGATTATTTCTTCTGTCGCTCCAGTTTGAAGTCTTGTTTCTTATGTCTCCCACCCATATTCCAGTTTAAAAAGAACAAAGGCCAGAGGAGTTCTGGATAGAAATAACTCCTTCTTTCTGTACTGTCACTGTTGACGAGACTATCTGGCTTGGAATTGTTGGTCATCAGTTGGCAAAGGACTCCCTCTCCTGGATTAACTGTAAAAGGAGGCAGAAACCTAAATGCTTTCCATCCTGGGCGAGTTTGTGCCGTGGGGGAGGGGTTTCAAGTGGTTTTGTCTGCAATGAAAAACTGCTGCCATCTACTGGCGTAGGAATAAAAATTTCTTTTCAGTCTGAACCACAAACCCAAACCCACAAAGGCTGCCTTGTCATTGGAAACAAAGGCTTTCGCTTTTCAACTGCTCAAAACCAGTCCACCAGACTCATCTTTGGTTGTCTAACTTTTGCCAAGATTATTTCGGTCTATTTCAATGACACTACGTGTGGAAAAAGTAACAACTGCACAAATGTAATTTTTGAAAACTTTAACTTCACAATGTCTATATATATAAATTTGTTTACTCACACTCCCTAATATCAAATTTCTTTTTTTTTTTTCCTTTGAGATTGGATGATCATGATATTGAGGGGATAATGGTAAAACAGACCTTCTCAAACACTGCTTGTAAACAGTTTTACATAAATAATGGGAGATTTCAAAATATTACCAGCTCAAATGCATGGTTAGACTCTTCATAAAGCAAAGACATTGAAAAGTTCCATAAAGATAATACCTGACAAGTAATGATTCAATATTAGGAGATTATGTGTATTCCAAATAATTATCCAATCAGCAATACATTTTGACATATATTAAGGCTATATTGGTATCTCACAGGCATTTTAAATACCTCTGATTTCAAATATACATGAAAAGGTAATTATATATATGATTCTACAAATCTTGTTCAGACAGCACAGAGTACAATGTCAGGCTAACACTACCTTTCTACTCACCTGCTGGTACATGCTACCACTGGGATTTCTACACTCTCCTCTCCAAACATTTCTTTTCTTTTCAGTGCTCTGAGAAATATATAGAAAAGACTCAGATCTGCTGTTCTGTGGTGGGACATAAATAGCATAGGAATAAGGCAGGATAAGAGTGTGTTTGGTTTTGCCTTTTTACTTTGAGAATACATTGAGATTCTTCTTTTTTTTTTTTTTTTTTTTTTTGAGATGGAGTCTTGCTCTGTCGTCCAGGCTGGAGTGCAGTGGTGCAATCTTAGCTCACTGCAACCTTTGCCTCCTGTGTTAAAACGATTCTCGTGCCTCAGCCTCCTGACTGGCTGGGACTACAGGTGCGCCACCAAGCCCAGCTAATTTTTTTGTATTTTTACTAGAGACAGGGTTTCATCATGTTGGCCAGGCTGGGAGATTCTTTATACCATTTTGTTAGTGGTAGGATGGAGGTTCTTATGAATTTTTTGTTCCATTAAATTTAAACAAAAGCACAGTGGAAAATGTTGCCAGGCCCATCATCAAACCAGGATATTTGTATGGTAAAATGCTTTGCACAAATCATACTTCTGGTATGCACTTGTGTGGCAAGTGACAGCACACTGCTATTTGCAACTCTATCATTTTTTCTTTCTTTTGGCTATATTTAATAGAAAGTACGTGTGCCAATCTGTAAAATTTCTTTCATAAAAACATGTTACTATTGTGTGAAAATAAATAATAACAATAAATTATCTAAAAGTTTGAACATTCTTTAGCATTCTTTGTTTAGCAACCACGTTCTTTAGCATCTACCAAAAAAAACTTGTGTGATATATTAAATTTAAAATGCTATGAAATTATATATTACACTCTAAAACTAACTTAGGTCCTAATGATTAAGAAACATTACAACTCACAGTAGAAGTAGCAACAGTAGACTACTATACTATAGTAGACTATATGGTATGTATAAAATAGTGATGAAATCTTCACACAACTCAAATGGGTAAATAAAAACTATATTTCTTTGCAAAATAGCAACAGGTATAACTTTACTGCTTGTGTCGAATTTACATTAATATCCTTCATTTAATTTCACATCAGAGGAATATTTTAATGAGTGACTGCATAAAGTAACAGTCAAAGACAAGTGATGTTTAACAAAACAGAGAGGTTAGGAGCTGTCACCAGTGCTTTCCTGATGCTTCTAAATCCAAAGCATTTGCAGACAAGCAGAAGAATCTTCCTTTTCTGCAGGAGAAAGGGAAAGCTGCATTTTAATTTTTTGATTCAGTTGAAACTTGATTTTTCCTGCTTAAAAAAATTACATTTAGCCAAGGAAAAATGTATTTTTACTCAACATTTTGTCAATTCCACTCTTCAGAAAGGCCATAAAAGTGAGTGTTTTACTGAAGAGGAAGAAGTTTGGGAAAACAGCTGGTTACTATCAAAGGAACTGTTTCTAAATAATCTATTCATTTCCAAAGTAAATTCCATGAAGTTTTTATTTTAAAAATTTATGTTTTAAAAATTAAACCAGATCAAACAAAACAAAAAAGATGTAGGGGCACAATCTTTGTATTATCAGAAAACTCTAAAGACTTTTAAAGAGGCAAAAGACTCATAACGAGAGACCAAGAGAACATATGAGCTATTACAGAATATTGGATTAAAATGTACTTACCCAGGACTCTCAAATATCATACATCTCCATTATGTAGGCTTTAGGCACCAAGCCAATGGCTCCCTTCATTTCTCCTACCCACCAGCCATATCTATTGTATTCCTAATTGAAAACAATATGCAATATTAACCTTTAGACTGGTGTAAGTACAATGTTGTTTGTATGCAACTTCTTAGAAATCTTATTTATAAAGTTAAAAGAGCTTGAGCTGCAAATGGAAACATTTTCATCTTTTTGTTTCTGGACACTTTAAAATGCTGTTAGGCAACAATTTAAATTAAGGTATAACACAAAGCCTGTTTATTACTGGGCAGAGAACACAGAACAATCACTCATGATGAAAACCTAGAAAATGAAACTACCTCAGGAAGCCTACTCTCGGGGACAGACTCTCTCCACAAAGCTTGGGGACACCTTTTATGTGTTAGAGGCTATAGAAGGTTAAAGCCAGGATCCTTAAGATACTATGTTTGCCTTCAAGAAGCTTATCATCTAGAGAGGATAAAATAATTTTTTACAATAAACTACTTATTTCTTAAACTTATATGACCTAAAATGATTTAGAATGTTGATATAGGTGTGCCCCTTCCTAAGAAAATCTAACATACACACTTTAATAGATAAATTAGAAAATAAGGAAACACTAAAAATACCAAAAAACTGCTTAAAAATAATTCACAAATAGGTTCCTTTAAAATAGTTTCCCTAAGGCATTTATTATTCCTTTTATTGACCATAAACTACCTTAGATAAAAGATAGATAGGTAGAAGGAATTTAAAGGTTGTGTTAGTCACCCTTACACTGGAAGATCAATAGAAAATAAAAGTATCTCAAGTTATAAAGCCAAAATATTAACCTAGCTCTAAAACACAATGATTGATGAATCACTTCTGCATTTACTTTGCAACTTGAGATAAGCAAACCTATGCCTCCTTTTCTCCCACTTTTTCCTCCTTTGACAGATACACCACTGCTTTAGGCATTGCGAATACTCGGTAACTGGTCTCATATGTCTGCCAGATTGACTAATGTATTTTTGTCTCAAATTTATTTATGTGTAGTGAGATACAAACAAAGTAAAATGAATTACAAGTTTCAAGAATAATATCCTCCAAAAGCAATACTCTTCACAAGGACTGTAGTGCTCAAATTTAATTTTTCATATAAGATAAATTTTTTAAATCAATCCCAAAAGTCATTCAGTAGGTTACGATTTTCCAGCGTCTGAGTCATAGATAAATGTGCATATGCATATTGAGTTATATATGGGGAGGGAATGTTAATACTAGTACAGACCTAACATTTGTATTGATTAGTATGCTATTGACTATCAGAAAGGAAAATTATGCAGTTCTTTAATACAAATGTAGCATTTCATTAGCGTGTATGAATTGATATGTCATCTATCAATAGAGATTATAGGATAGAATTTATAGGCACTTTTTCAAACAGTGGGCAGTATCAGGATTAGGTTTTTTTGAAGAACAAAGTGAAGGGGGAGAGGGGAGAAAAGACTACTCCTGCAATTCTTATTCTATTGAGGGCACAGCTCTGGCTTGTGAGGCAATAAACTCAAGATTTTAAGTTTTAAACTTTTAAAGTTCACTGATGGTGTGAACTTAGTGGACAAAACTGTCTAAACAACGAGGATACTCTGATTCCCAGAACCCAATGTTGGCTATAATCTCTGTAGGACATATTTATCAGAAGAAAATACTAACTGAAAGTCATGATTAGCAACCATTGTATCTTAATAGGTACCTAATAAAACTGCTCTTTTCTATTTTTAAGGCAGTGAATACAATTGGAGCCTAATGCTTAACAAAACAAATGTACTTAACCATCAGACTACTGTATGATTTCAAAATGGATAATTAACAGGGTAGGTCTGAATGTTAAAGCTCTTATCCAATGTCAATAGAAAATTTTTAAAACTGATTATTTGGAATGAGAAAAGGAACTAGCCCCCTGCTCCCCAATGATAGACATAGAAATCATTCAGTTAGAGGACACATTATTGGCTTAAACTTGCTTCCAGAGAATGGCCCTCAATCTGGGGATCAACGTTTAGATTCAAATTACAAGCCAGAAAGTTATTATTTTATAATATTCTACTTTGGTCATAGTCTATGCTATCAACTAAAGGCATGTTGTTTTCAAAAAGCTACTCACACCTAAATTTAAGAAATTAGTTACCAAGAAATTACATCAACGAAGGACAGACTTCACACTTGAGAGGATTCTGTGCTACGGTAGAACAGTAAGATTTATTAAATAGAAAGCATAGTGGTAAACAGTAGGGAGGAGCTTAATCACCTATAAACAAATCCCTTAAAAGTAGCACTCTAGGGAGAAAAAAGGTTTAGACTAAAATAAATGCTTCACTTAGTTTAAAATAATTGAAAAACATATGAAATATACAGTTCATAAAAATGCTCTAAAATATCAGATTTAAATCAAAAAAGGGTTAAAGACCAGAATATTTAGTACCTTATATTTGTAAAGAATTGCAAATTATACTCCTGTTTGGAATTAATGCATTACGATCAAATGTAGTGAGGTAAAAACATAGGGGGCAAATGTATGGATTTACGCTGCAGCCATTAGAGTATGTTGACAAGACTGCAAATACAGGAGCTTTTACTTTGATCATTACCCTTCTCTGTATGAGCCTCCTGAGCAACATGAATCCCAATTAAACCATTTGCAGCCTATAAATGGGAACGAAAATGCTTCTTGGAATACAGTATTCTAAACTTTGGCCTGAACATTCAATATCATGCAAGGTTTCCTTTTGAAAAAGAAAATCTGCCTGTCTTTCCCTTTGCTCTTTGCCACCTCCAAGCAAATGTGATTATGCATGATATATTACTTACAGTGGAAAATAATGCAACCGATACAATGTTGTTTTGCAGTCCACAAACTAATTATAGTATTGTTCTATAAAGTCACAGGTAGATCATTTAAAAAACAAAAATGAAAACTCTCAAACCCTATCTTCTTAGCAAACAAAAAATAAAGAGACAAACCATACCAGGCTGTCGTCTAAATCTTTGAAAGATTAGGAAGCATCATGTAATCTTTATGGAACACAGTTCTCAGGTACAAGGAGGTCTGCCATCTGGTATCCTTCACCTATTCAGCTCTTAACATCAGTTGAAATGCTAACATAGGCAGTGACTGTACTTCAGGAGGACTGATAAAATAATGAAGAGTCCTTTAATCTACAGGAAACCATTCTAGTCAATTTATAAGAAATATTGCATCCCTTTGTAGGACATGTAATTATTTTCTATTAATCACGTGCTATAAAGCTACATTATGCGGTTATTCTGTTATCACTAGAAAGAGGCCTGCAGTCAGCTTCTGACAATGTTAGGTAATTACTAACACAAAGCTACTTTCTCCTCCCACAGTAATGCTATCAAGATCCAAAGGTGTAGTGAGGCTTATTGTATAAAAATAGTACTCAAAAGAAATTCAGTATCTGCAAAATGGATGGCTTCAAGGCAAAATGTAGTGTGGTAATCAAAGAAGCAAAAGAAGCCAAACTTGCCCAGTAATCCAAGAAAATAATAGTAAGGCAGTAGTGAATGCTTATGATCTACCACCCATATTTTCAATTTTCATAACGCTGAAATCATTTTTTTTTGTTTTATTTTGTAGTTGAAATTTTAGGCCCCAATTAATATTTATTGAGTGACTGGATAAGAAGGCAGGAAAAAGGACTAGTTATGATAAAGTGAAACAGAGACTTTATCCAACATAATATTAATATTTAGTCAACTAAATCTTCTTTCTCTGCTGGTATATTATTTTACATTTATATAAGGACCCAACATTTACTTAATCTTTTTCAGCACCATGACTGTCATTTCTTGGGTATATTAATCCACTTTCTGCCAATAATACAGTAAAAGAATGCTGACTTAACAGAAACCTGGAACATTAATACGATTTAATGATGTACTGGCCCTTTCAGAAATTAGTTACCCATGTGTTTGAAAGCAACAGGTGTTTGCAAAAATTTTTGTGTCCTTTTTCCAAACATGTATCTGTGCTTCAAAACATATCAGCCTTTTGTGAAAATGAAAGTAATTTTACTCACAAAATATAAAATACAGCAAGTTTAAGAACCAATGGACTTGACTGTTGTTTTCCAAGTGTTCACTGTGATATCTTTATTCATAATCACTGTAGTACTATAAAGACTAGATACCTATTTAAAGTGTATAATACTTTCATCAAGGCTACCTCTTTAGTCTCTTGTTTTTTTATTAACTCTGATTAGAAACTTTGTAATAATCCTCTCATTTCTCATATATCCATCATTTCAAAAGGCTCTCTTTAAAATGTACAACAGGAACTGTACAACCTCGGTGTTTTACTATTACTATCTACACATTAACTGCTTGAATCGTAGATTCCTAATCTGTTAAATGAGGAAACTGACACAATCTGCAAGGACCTCCATGATGTTTGAGCACCACCATTCAAGAACCTGACTGAAGACACTAAGTTCCCTAGTGGTGTATGAAGATCAATCTCATTACTTTATAATTAACTATGCAGGTGTGACTTTGAGTTCCTCTAATTCAAAGAATTACTGTTTTTTCTCCTTGCATTGTATACTCCATTTTTAAAGCAAGAGAGACAAAGACAAGGAAGCTGATAGAATTTAATTCTCATAACAAATTTTAGTTTATATCCCTGAGTCATGATATATTTAATTCAACTTTCTACAAAGTCAACAATTATAAACCATACAGTAAAAACTGACATTCAGACTCATAATGTTAGGCGAAGATCATGTCATGCTTAGTAGAGAGTGACTTTGGTGTTCAGTGTACAGTATTTTACCTACCGATACATGACCCTATTAACTGTTCTCAGGTTCACCCATTCCACTTTATTCTCACTGGCACTACCAGTTCAGGCCTTCATCACTTTGCCCCACTTTACCACATTATCAATGCTGCCTCTCTGTTATTCCCGGAAATTCTTTTCATCAGTTTATCCTGCTGCTCAAGAACTTATACTAACTCTCTGCTGCATTAACTACAGACTTTAGCTTGTTCCCACCCTGCTAGCAACCTTTTCC